AGGATACCCACTTTAACAGGGTGTTGCAACTGGAGGTCTGTTGAGACAGTTCGTTTCAGAGCTTAGGCAAGAGCAAGCAGTAACCCCTTTGTGACAGGCCAAGACTTAGTGTGATACTAGGTTTTTTGGTCGTATCCCCTTAAAGGAATCCATTATGATTCCAGGCCTTGAGCTCTACCCCGGGCTCAGGAGCCTGGCCCTAACAGGTAAGTTTGGTATGTAGCCTAGGCCTTTGGCCGTAGGGGATAAAGTCACGGACAGGCGTCTGACGTCCCAGGGGCAACTCACCATGGGAATGGTAAAGTTGGTACTTAGTGCTCGCCATGGTTCTGGCCTGCACTTTTGCCAATTTATCCACCTTTTCATTTCCCTCAATACCCACATGCGCTGGAACCCATGTAAACGGTGTATACATTTTTTGTTGAGTTAGTCTAAAAATTGATTGATTTATTTCATCTAAAAGATCTTGCCTACATACAGATTTTCCACTCTGGATACTTGTCAAGGAGGACATGGAATCTGAGCAGATCTTATGCGGCTTAACTTCCTCTACCCATTGTAGTGCTATTACTAAGTGGAATTTTTATATCTATATTTTATGTCTTCAGGGCTTCTTTTGCCAATTTATCCACCTTTTCATTTCCCTCAATACCCACATGCGCTGGAACCCATGTAAACGGTGTATACATTTTTTGTTGAGTTAGTCTAAAAATTGATTGATTTATTTCATCTAAAAGATCTTGCCTACATACAGATTTTCCACTCTGGATACTTGTCAAGGAGGACATGGAATCTGAGCAGATCTTATGCGGCTTAACTTCCTCTACCCATTGTAGTGCTATTACTAAGTGGAATTTTTATATCTATATTTTATGTCTTCAGGGCTTCTTTTGCCAATTTATCCACCTTTTCATTTCCCTCGATACCCACATGCGCTGGAACCCACGTAAACGGTGTATACATTTTTTGTTGAGTTAGTCTAAAAATTTATTGATTTATTTCATCTAAAAGATCTTGCCTACATACAGATTTTCCACTCTGGATACTTGTCAAGGAGGACATGGAATCTGAGCAGATCTTATGCGGCTTAACTTCCTCTACCCATTGTAGTGCTAGAATAATGGCCATTATTTCAGCTGAAAAGACTGATAGGTGATCTGAAATTCTTTTTTGGATGTTAATATTGTATTCTGGGATGAATACAGCTGCACCTGTTTTGCCAGTTATTGGATCTTTGGATGCATCTGTGTATATCTGTATTTATTCTTCATACCTGGTTTCTATATACTGTTGAATATTTTGATATATGCCAGATTTTGTCTTTTATTTCCATATTTACTATAGGAAAACAGAATAACCATGGTGGGATGGCAGTCATACTTATTGTTTTACAGCATGCAATAGTGTCTATTCCCATTTCCTCTACCTCTATTGCTCCTCCATCCAAAGCTACTAATGTTGATACAGCCATACTCCCAACCTTCTTCAAGTACCTTTTTTTGCCCATGCAGTTTTGTCCAGTATGACATTGTTAGTTTGAGTCTTGTACAATCTTCTTTTTTGGTAATGACATACGGTACACGCTAAGCACACTGCTGCCATCTGTAGATCATAGTTTGTAGTACTGATGGTATAAAATAAATATATATTTTTTTCTACTTGTATTGAAGTTTTTTTTTCTTCTTCACAATTTATAAAACAAATATGTAATACACTAGAACAAACATGAACACTAAAAATAATCAAAGAAAAAGACAAAGAGCAAAATCAAATATGGTACATAATATTTAAGATAACAACATACAAAACGACACTAAAGTAATACTTGGCATAAAGTTTCGTCTTTATATATAGTTTTAAATACTTTAAAACTCTGATATATATATATGTATGTATATATATATATATATATATA